TGAACCTGAGCGGACTATAAATATCTCCGGTTGCTAAATAAACCGTCAGGCAAGTTATTATTTGTAAAAACTAGATTTAGCCTAATTAAAATATAAACTAATGTTTTAAAAATGTTTTATTTGGCAAGTGACCATGGTATAAGCGGGTTAATGCCCTCCGAGGTGTCCATTGTTGGACTTCGTCCTCCGCTGCACGTCGGCCGGTTCACGCCTCGCCGTCGTCCATTAAAACCTGACAATAGACACCTCGTCGGGCATTAAACCTTACTGATAGCACGCCAAAAAATGGAAATACGAATTGGCGTGTCATACACACGCTACTTCATGAGATCAGTCTGCTTTGAGAAATGAAGTGATGTGCAGCATGAGTAAAATAGTGCTTTTGACATTGGGTTGATGTAAACCTGTTGTAGGAGAGCTGCAAAATAAAAACAGCCTAGTAGGCACTTTAAAAAAACTAATGGAAATGTTGATAGTGCACAAATCATTTTTTGATGCTTATTCAAACCTACCTACCTAGATCACTCACATCAGCTAGAAACACCAAGGGTTCACTCTAAGCATGGAGAGTCTGCTTTTAGCTATTATGCCAACAGCCGCCACTGGAACCAGCTTCCAGAAGAGATCAGGTGAGCTCTTACAGTAGTCACATTTAAATCCAGGCTCAAAACACATCTGTTTAGCTGTGCATTTTGCCACTGTTCGTCCGACTGTTACTGCGTACTACGTTTTATTTTTGATTCTAAATTGTTTTAATTATTTACTGTATTTTATTTTTATAATAATTTTTATTTTTCATGTTTTATTCTAAACTGTTCTAATTATTCTGATTACTTTTGATTATTTAATGTTTTCTATGTAAAGCACTTTGAATTGCCATTGTGTATGAAATATGCTATAAATAAACTTGCCTTACCTACCTACCAGTATTAACTTTCACATGCAGTTACACATTAACCTACCTACCAGTATTAAATAAAAAAAATTATCAAACAACCCCACGTGTTGTTTGAGAGGGTTTCAAGAAAGATCCTCCTCACTCCTCCAAAAACAAACTCCAGCATATTCAGGTGTCAGACACGACTGGATCATCAAACGGCACAGGGTTCTGTGGTCAGATGAGACTAAAAAAAGAGCTTTTTGGCAGTAAGCACACTAGATAGTTTGGTGGACATGAGGATAAAAAGTACCCCATGTGTACAATTTAATAAACCATTGGATCTTTAATGTTGGGGACCTATTTTTCTGCAGGAGGTCCTGGACTTCTTATTCAGATACATGGCATTGTGGATTCTATTAAACATCAACAGATAAAAAATCAAAACCTGACACCTTCTGCAAGAAATCTTATTATGGGCCATGGTTGGATCTGCCATCTGGACAACGATCCAAGACAAACATCAAAATCAACACAAAAATTTGTTAGGGAGCACAAAATGAAGCTTCTGCCATGGCCCATGACCGTCCCAGAACCCTATAGAAAATGAGTGGTCCGAACTGAAGAGAAGCACAAACATGGATCTGGGAATCTGAAGGATCTGGAGAGTCTGTATGGAGGAATGGTCTCTGATCTCAGGTCAGGTGTTGTGCAAACACATCAGGCATTATAACAGAAAACTCAGAGCAGTTATCTTGGCAAAAAGAGATTGCAAAAAGGTATTTAATAAAAGGGTATGAGTAATTGTGGCCAACGTGTTTTGGAGAAAAACATTTATTTTATAATGTGATCCCACATTACACATTAACAAACATACCTAGCAACCAGTATTAACTTTCACATAGTTACACATAAACCAACCTACCAGTATTAACTTTCACATACAGTTACACATTAACCAACCTACCAGTATTAACTTTCACATGCAGTTACACATTAACCAACCTACCAGTATTAACTTTCACATGCAGTTACACATTAACCTACCTACCTACCTACCAGTATTAACTTTCACATACAGTTACACATTAACCTACCTACCTACCAGTATTAACTTTCACATACAGTTACACATTAACCTACCTACCTACCTACAAGTATTAACTTTCACATACAGTTACACATTAACCTACCTACCAGTATTAACTTTCACTTACAGTTACACATTAACCTACCTACCTACCAGTATTAACTTTCACATACAGTTACACATTAACCAACCTACCTACCTGCAAGTATTAACTTTCACATGCAGTTACACATTAACCTACCTACCAGTATTAACTTTCACATACAGTTACACATTGACCTACCTATCAGTATTAACTTTCACATAGTTACACATAAACCAACCTATCAGTATTAACTTTCACATAGTTACACAAACCAACCTACCAGTATTAACTTTCACATGCAGTTACACATTAACTTTCACATAAAGTTACTCATTAACTTTCACATGCAGTTACACATTAACTTTCACATAAAGTTACTCATTAACTTTCACATGCAGTTACACATTAACTTTCACATACAGTTACTCATTATCGTTCGCATGCTGTTACTCGTCATTTCACATGCAGGTACTCATCATTTTTCACAGGCAGGTACTCATTAACTTTCACATGAAGCTACTCGTTAACTTTCGCTTGCAATTACTCAACAACTTTCTCACGCAGTTACATATCGATTTTCACCAGCAGTTACACATTAGCTTTCACATGCAGTTACACATTAACTTTCACAAGCAGTTACTCGTCGCCTTTCGCATGCCGTTACTCATTAACTTCGCTTGCAAGTTACTCATTAACTTCACGTGCAGTTACTTATCATTTCACATGCAGCTACTCATAAACTTCGCTTACAAATTACTCATCAACTTTCAGATGCAGTTCCACATCAACTTTCTCATGCAGTTACACATAGACTTTCACATGCAGTTACCGGTTAACTTCGCTTGCAGTTACTCATTATCTTTCACATGCTTGCTACTCGTCTTTCACATGCAAGTACTCATATCTTTCACATGCAGCTACTCGTTACCTTTCGCATGCAGCTACTGGACATTTTCCGATGCAGTTACATATCGATTTTCACTGCAGTTACACATTAGCTTTCGCATGCAGTTACACATTAACTTTCACTGCAGTTACTCGTTGCCTTTCGCATGCAGCTACTCATTAACTTCGCTTGCAAGTTACTCATTAACTTCACGTACAGCTACTCACCATTTCACTGCAGTTACACGTTAACTTCGCTTGCAAGTTACTCATACTTTCACCTCAAGTTACTCGTACTTTCATATGCAGTTACACATTATCACACGCAGTTACACATATGACTTTCGCAAGCATTTACTCAATAACTTTCACCAGCAGTTACACATTAACTTCCACTTGCAGCTACTCATAAACTTCATCTGCAGATACTCATTAACAGTAACATGCACTTTACTCATCGACTTTCACCTGTAGTTACACATAGACTTTCACTGCAGTTACACATCGACTTTCACAGCAGTTACTAAATAACTTTCGCATGCAGTTACACATTAACTTTCACATGCAGTTACTCATTAACTTTCACATGCAGTTACACATTAACTCTCACATACAGTTACTCATTAACTTTCACATGCAGTTACACATTAACTCTCACATGCAGTTACACATTAACTCTCACATGCAGTTACACATTAACTCACATGTAGATACACATTAACTTTCACATGCAGTTACACGGTAACACTTTACAATAAGGTTCGTTAGTTAACATTAGTTAACTACATTAGTTAATATGAACTAATAATGAATAGCACATATACAGCATTTGTTAATCTTTGTTAATGTTATTTTCAACATTTACTAATACTTGATTAAAATCTTGTTAACATTAGTTAATGCACCGTGAACTAACATGAACAAACAATGAACAGCTGTGTTTACATGAACTAACATTAACAAAGATGAACAAATGCAGTAACAAATGTATTGCTCATGGTTAGTGCATGTTAGTAAATACATTAACTAATTAACCTTATTGTAAAGTGTTACCAGTTACACATTGTCGGTTAAAAACAAGAAAGTGGCTAGTAAAAACGTCGAGTGGCTGGTCGATTTTGAAATCCACAGTGGCCGCCGGTGGACGAAAGAGTTGATTTCCATCCCTGCGTGGTAATGTCAAGGTGTCATAACAAAGACATCTCAAACAATGTCATATTTGCATTAAAACTTTCATAACTGAGCAAAAGACACTTAATGACAGTTGTCACAAACATGCATAAACCTTCCTTCATATTCATAACGTACATCATGTTAGTCTTATGCATACCCCTTCAAGTAAAGTGTTACCAAAGAATGAATCTGAGACAGTTCATAAGAGAAACGTGTGCAGTATTCCGTGCTGCAAGAATGCTGTCTTGACGAAGCCTAACTTGCTTCATAAATGTAATATATTTTTTAATATTTAATTTATCAGTCAGAGCAGGAATTAAGGCTACATTCGAATAAACAAAGCCAGCGGAGCGATTATCTCTGTCCATCTTGAGGAATGAAAACGGTTGAACCAAAGAATGTATATTGACAAAAAGTGAACGCTCCATTGCAACACAAGTATTTTGCAGTATTATCTTATATTAATGACCGTTAAAACAAAACTATGTAAACAAAAAAAACACAGCCACTGTTCAAAGTGGCAATTAAAGTTATAGGATAACGAACACAGCGCATCAATGATCATCATGTTTGTAGCATGATCCAGGGGATTAAAACGTACAAAATATATTTCAGGCCTAATGGAGTTGGTAACTAATATAAGTAGTAAATGTGTAAAGTTGCATACAATGGAAATACCATAGACTGTAAAAAAAATGGACAAAGCGTCTGTGACGTCACTCATAGACTTTCTGAAGAACAGGTTTGAGGCTGTTTATGGGGGGTATGGGCGGCGCCATATTAGAAAATCTTGAGAAATACAAAATACAAATGTTCAGAAATACAAATGTTTCAGAAAGGATACAGAGATGCGTCGTGTCAGATCATGGCCAAGACGTCCAATTCCACTCGGCGCAGCCCGTTATCAGCTGTCAATCAAAGTTAACCGCCCTTATTTTTCATACATTTTATATCCAAATACGATCTAAACTAACGAGTCAGAAAAAAATTCACTCACCTCACAGTTGTCAGGCACTCAGAACCTATCGAAAAATACAATAAAAGTCAAACTGTAAACATATGAATTGATGCTGTGAAAACGGACACTTTAATGTGAGGTCTATGGATATTCACCCCCTTTTGGGACCGGCCTCTAGCGGATTTTCGATGTATTGCAGTTTTTCCCACTTCCGGGTAGGCTTCATTTTTCAGATTAGAATTTTGCCGCTTGGGAAACATTAGAAGAAAAAACTACCTCAAAAAACTGTTATCTATGCTGTTGTCCAGTAACTCCAGTTGGAATTTTCACCCCAAAATGGCGGCCGCGCTCCTGAAGCGCCACCTAGAGTTTTGCTTCTTGTTCTTCTAAACTCTTTGGTTGAACTCTGACCAATAAGAGGATCGTTTTATACACGTGGCTTGCATAAACACATTTTGGTACGCTTTGAAATGTTGCCTTGTGAAAGCAAACCGAACGAGTAAAAAATTAAATCCGTGCTTCAGAACAAAGAAAATGACCTACAGGTATGAAAATGCAGCCCTACACTGCAACCTATGGCATGAGTTGGGCTTTGCTAATCAGGTTTTCTGATAATCAAGTCATTTTGTGTGAAAAGACAATGGTCATGAAAACAGTGGACTTCCTTTTGGAAAAAAATACTTTTGGCATTTGGTTGGAGAGACGGTGCTCACAGAAGGCACATGCAAACTTTCTTTCTCAATTGGCTCATTTTGGCTTTCATGGGCTCTATAATAACATTTTCTACCTCATGAATTTCGCTGAATATGAAATGAATATCTTCATAAATGGATATTAAAGGCTTTAGCTGTGCTTTGCCGCTGGAGTATAATAGAAACCCACATTTTGCTTAAGCCGAACAATAACTCCTGGCAAATAAACCGTCGAGGTATAAAACGGTTAATGGTAAAGCGGTAAACATGCGTGGGAGAGAGCAGACCTTGCCTATGTAACCCAGTAGGTTATAAAAAATGCTGGTAATACGCTCTCAATTTATTAGTTTGTAATTTAATTCACTTGAGAAATAAAATGTGAATTAACTTCTCATCTGTGTTAGCGAGTGTAAGGTATTTGTTCCTTTAAGAATGCGCGTGCATGAGATGCAAGTTTGATCTAGGGGTACCCCCTGTAAAACGTGGTATTAACCATCATGTTAGGTGCTTTTTTATTTTATTGGTTTCAGGGAGTTAAGTCCCACCCTCGCAGGGTTTTTGAACGATTTGAGTGGTGGTACGGGGGAAATTGAAAAAAAAAAAAAGAAAGACGGGAGAAGGAGAGGAGAGACGAGTTTATGTGAACAGTGATTTTAATTGACGATTTATAAGTTAAATCATCTTTAACTGCAATGTAGATCCGAGATATGAATCGCTTGTGTGTTTGTTGGTGTTTATAGCCTGTTTTTTTCTCCGTGTGGTTAACCTGCCGTGCGGGCGTGTATCCGAATTTCTCCGGTCAGTCATCACTGCATATATTAGCGCATTGGAACGTGTAACCTAACCAAACTGTTACCGTATCAAAGACTGTTTTATTGCTGCGGGTTCCGGACAACTGAGGACCCAAGTAACCGTGATATTTGGGGTTCCTCTGGCGCCGCGGGAGGTGTAGTGCGTTCGGCCAACGAGCGAGCGAGAGGACGAGGAGCTGCGCGCGGCCGGCTGCTGGAATCGCGGATACCGCATTTGTTCTCACGTGGAATTGGAGGTATTTTTTTTGTTTTAGTTGTGCTCAGGAGAGTGAAGGGGCCATTTGTCGTTTTCCCGGCCACCACGAACACAAGCCACGATTCAGGCCTGCAACGGGGTGGGTTGATTGTGTGTGTGTGTGTGTGGGCCCACAACTGTTTAATCTGAGTATTTTGTGTTAAACATTGCACGGATAACGTGAACTATTCAGAGTATTTCTGTTTATAATTAGGAAGTTATCTTGGGTTTTACTTTATTGGGTATACGGCTAATTTATATTGTTTTTTTTTTGGCCGGTATTCTAATTCCTGTGCGTTTGGCATCAGAGTTATTGTCCTTCTGGGACTGAATTGTGATCCAGTTAAAGTGAGGATAATTGTGTGAATATTTCACACATTTAAATTAATTCCTTGAGCCATTTAATATTCAACATTTCTATTTCAATTAAATCTTATTTTGTTCTGTAATTTTACTTGTGTTATTTCTTGAAAGTGTCGGTTTATGCTATTGTTTAGGGGGGTGATACATTTAATTTGAGTAACATAGTACAAGGAGAGAAGAGCTTATCATTTAAGTTCTAAAATTCAAATTTACTTCACTTAGTGACACCAGAGGGGCCTAACGTCAACATCTGTAGGCATATAGTAAGTGAACTTGGGGCGCTGTTCTCTATCTAGTTACGAGAAGATCAGGTAGGGGGCGCTACACCTATATCAGAGCAACTCAAAATTTCGACCCCAAAAAAAACGACAGTGGTACCCCTGTCGGTTTTTTTTTTTTCGGGGCGAAAAAATAAGTTTCTCCAATCTTCTTGAAACTCTGGATTCTGATAGAGGGCCATGGGACTTAGACCTGAGTGCAAAAATGAAGGCTCTAGACCCTTCCAAAGCTGAGATATTGAGATCCCACGTAGCATTTATGCCATTATAAATATCTCAATATTTCAGCTCTGGAAGGGTCTAGAGCCTCCATTTTTGCACTCAGGTCTAAGTCCCATGGCCCTCTATCAGAATCCAGAGTTTCAAGAAGATCAGAGAAACTCAAAATTTCGACTCAAAAAAAAAAAAACGACAGTGGTACCCCTGTCGTTTTTTTTTTCGGTGCGAAAAAATAAGTTTCTCCAATCTTCTTGAAACTCTGGATTCTGATAGAGGGCCATGGGACTTAGACCTGAGTGCAAAAATGGAGGCTCTAGACCCTTCCAGAGCTGGGATATTGAGATCCCACGTAGCAGTTATGCCATTGGGTTCGTGGACGGTGGAATTATGGGACGGCGCTTGGTGCTACGGACTCAGGGGCCCTAGCTGAGTGCAGTAAAATAGTTTTTATCATGACAGGAACTTTAATTAAAATGTCCAAAAAAAAAAAACACTACCGAAATCCCCATTCAATAGATTGCAGGCGGGATTCTGTCCAATTGCAGCTTATTGCATGAAGGCCGGGGTTAGTACATTTAAGAATAGTGGGTTATTGGACAAATAGTGGGTTCGCGGACAGTGGATTCTGGGATGGCGCTTGGTGGTACGGACCCCGGGGTGGTCTCCTGAGTGCGGGAAAATAGTTATCACGACAGAAACTTTAATTAAAATGTCTATCAAAAATACTCCCCCAAATCCCCATTCAATAGCTTGCCGGTGGGATCGCGTCCAATTGCAGCATATTGAATGAACTGCGGAAAATTTTTTAAAAATACAGTGGGTTATTGGACAAATAGTGGGTTTGTGGGACGGGGGCATGGCCCGGGAGTGGTAACGGGACGTTTGGTAAATATAGTGGGTTATTGGACAAATAGTGGGTTCGTGGGACCGGTCAGTGGGTGGGGGGCCAGTCGCCCTGACGAAGCGGTGGTCGGTTGGAGACCTCCAATTATTCCACGCTCATTCACGGCATCATCAAGCTATGCCTTTGTTTAGAATAAGCGACTTCTAGTGGCGAACTTACATACTGTGCCTTTAATACAGAATCAAGAATTAACACCAACCTCTTTGTTCTTCAGTATGTTTCATTCTGCAGTGTTCTGGATCTCATGTTCTCAGTGTCCTTCAATAAACTCTGTGTTTGTGTTAGCTCTTCCTGATGGTTTGATGCTCGTCTTCACTTGTAGCTGAGGGGAATATTCCGTTTATTGGTGAACTGCAGTGGGAGGAGCTTCACTGAAGGAGGAGCTTCACTGGAGGAGGAGCATCACTGAAGGAGGAGATCTGACAAAATCAATAAGAAAACACATACTGAGTTTGTTTTTATATTAATTTACACATTTTAAATGTTTATGCCCACCTTTTCTATCTAAAGTAACTTTTAAGTTAATTAATCTCAAAGGTCTGATTTCACAGACAGGGATTGGATTAAGCCAGGAATAGGCCTTTGTTCAATTAGGGCATTTAAGTAGCTTTTGGGCTAGGGGTGTAACGATACCCTCATGTTAGGATTCGATATATATCATAATAGTGAACTCCGAATATCGAATGATATTGCGATACTGCAAGACATATGGTAAAAGGTAAACAAAGAAATTTACTGTTGATTAAAATGCTAAATTTGGTTATTACATTGGGAGTGGAAATGAAAAGGTTTGGACTTGGTGCTGGAAACCAATGCACAGGACACAGACACCGGAATAAAAGAATTCATGATTTCTGAAGCTGAAAATACAGAATTAGATTTAGATTTTTATTGGTAACATAGGACATTTGGCATTATCAGGACTGACAAATATCCCCTCATTGCTTTATTATACTCAACATAATACAGTAGTTTAATGTAGTACCACAGACACTAAAACTCTATAAACTTGAATTTTTTGCATACAGTAATTTCATTTGGGTGAACTACACTCAAAACCGATTTTACTATCCGCGCAACGCCCTGAACACGCACTAAATGTACACTATCTTGAAGACCGCATTGGAGCGTATCCCATCATGCATTAGGTGCGGGAACTCGCATGCACTGAAATCACAAGATGATGAGGAAAACATTCCACTGTAAGTTAAATGAACTACATTTTACATGTAATTTGGTAGAAAAACACATTGTTAAAGTGTCATTATAATGTTGCAAAGATGAGTATGGTATGTGTATTTTGCACATTTGCATCACTTAATTAAAAGCACCATATTTTTTAATTATGCCTTTTGTTACATTGGGACTACTAACCAGACATTGTTGATTGTAAAATGCAAAGAATTGAAAATTTAAATAAAGCTCTGTTAACACTTGCATTTTTGTGTCACTATTAGGGTTGGGAATCGTGAGAAATTTTCCGGTTCCGGTTCCGATTCCGGTTCCGCCAAACGATTCCGGTTCCCATTCAATTAAAAATATTAGTAAGAGAAAAATCCACAATCCTTTTTGTGTTTATTTCTTATAGTACATGACAAATTAGTTTAACAGACTGGTAATGTAAACAAACTCAAAATATTAAGCAATCTTTGCAAAAAAAAAAAAAAAATTATATATAAAGGAAATTAAAAAATTCTGCATTCTCTATAATAATTTAGACCTCTCCTTTATTGTATCTCCAACAGTGACGAATACCCTCTCAGAAGAAATAGTATATGCTTTAACACACATATGTGTGTAGAACAGATTATTTTTTAAAACGGTTTGAATGATTGATTCATAAAGACTTTACTTATTTCATTACTTGATAAATCGGCGCTCTAGCAGTTAATAAACAGAACGGCATGCGTCTTGCGGAAGAACATTGTTGCCGGAGCTACTTCTCTCTGTTTATGTCCATGACGCAGGCATTGGGCTACTCCGCAGCAGCTGCGATCCGCCGGCCAGTCTAAAGAAGTCCGAGTATTAACGCTTATTACAGGCTTTACGTAGTGATTCAAGATAAGACAAAAACACGGTTTGAAAAAAAAAACCTTATGATGCACTCGCTCATTGTATATATTTTGTAAATTCTGAACACAAAAAATATACGGACTGCATCTGTTTTGACCACTACCGTCAATGTTTACTCAAACTATAATCTCACTAATTCTGTAACGGAAATCATTTGAATATGTGAAACAAATAAATATTGAGACTGTGTGATTGTAAAGCAGTTTCATATCGACAACTGCTCTCTCTCTCTCAGCGCAAACAGATTTGAATGTAGGCTAGAGAGTGACTCGGCGGTCGGCGCGCGCAGCGTGCCTGTGTCTGTGTGTGACAAATGCAGCGCGTGTGAGAGCAAATCGCAACTTCAGTGTTGAAGTTCTTGTCATTTAGGAATAAGACGGCGTCTTCTACTCCCAGCACTTCGCCCACATGATGATATCGCATCGGCATCAGAACCGTTTTCGGAACCGAAACTTAGGAATTTTGCACGGTTCCGGTATTTTTTCAAAAACACAACCGGTTCTGGAAAAGAACCGGTTCTCGGTTCCCAACCCTAGTCACTATAAGTGTGTCCCATTGGGTAATCTAGTCATCACACCTACTTGAACACTTGGGCTAAATGCAGGAAATACCTACATCGTGCAAGTACACAAGTGCAAAGACCGCAAGTGTGGTCCTTTAAAAAACATTACTAATGTGCATCTTGAGACCAAACAATGGCACTGACATTTTGCTGCTAGAAACAGATTGTTACAGACTGTATACTGAAAGAATAAAAGTGGTCTAATGTTAAAATATTATTTCTCAAATGATACAGTAAAATTGCAGGAACATAAAGAATAATCAAACCCATCTTTATCAAACATTGTAATTCGCCGATATCAATAGTTCATTTTCTACAACTATGTTACACATCTAGAAAGGAGCAGATGTCGTTTCTGGTGCAACACATTTTATATTGGGGCTTTGCATGCAATCCTGCAAGACAGATTTAACAGTACACAGTCAATCATCAGTGGAGCATCTCAATTTGGTGTGTTATCTGCTCGTCTCTGCATTAACTGCTATATTGTGCGCATTCTCACATTCAGTATGACATTTAATAATTGCTCATTATAACATTCCCTGTTGCTCACTAACCTAAATTAACATTCACTTCAGTTTGCAAATCAAACATGTGAACATACAGTATATCTCGCCCCATATCAAAAATAACAAATAACCCTTGTTAAACTTAATTTGAACCTATACATTTCCCTTTGTCTATTAAACACTTTCCAAAGTACATACATTCTCTTTCTCAGCATGACTTGTTAACTCTAAATAACACATTACACTTTAACATTCTCTTAGGTCACATTTCACGACTCTTTTATACCATTATCGAGCAAATCACTTCGTTTGAGTTTCCCTTAAAGGGTCATTCCACCTCTGGAAAGATTCATGTGTATTTAAAATGGGTAATTTATGTAGAAGAAATGTGGAATTATTTTTGAATTTAGAGCTTTCTAGACTGAGAAAAGACAGAAAATGTATTTTTGCCTTATGTGGATGAAAAACAACAACTCCCAGAATGCACTTGCTTCGCTGGAGGCCACGCCTATCGGTAAACGCACAGTAGGTAAACAACAAGTCTAGGCTAGTGAGTCTCCGTGATGCGTCTGCCTGAAAATGCGTTTCGAGATCGCCCAATATTCCCGGGATTCGGCTTTTGCGTTGTACAGTCGTCATTCACCATGTTTACTGTGGCGAGCGGGACAAGTGAGAGCTGTGTGGAGAACGACGTGAGGCCGGTGGCGTGATTACCGATGAGCGGCAACTGAGACGTAAGTTACTGGTCTTGTATCGCTCACGGAGGAGCGGGAATTTTCTTAGCAATGTTAAAACCCACATCAACCGATCACTTGTTTAGCGTTCATGTAAACACTACATTCAGATTCAGCAATCAGAATGAATTCAGTTAGATTAAAACAAAAGCTGTAACTACAGAAAGCAAAAGCTGAATCCCGGACATCGATGGCCGGACATATCCGGGAAAAAGAGGATGGTAACACCTAAAGCTATAACTCAGCTTTCTCCACAGGACAACAGCCTGCTAGCTTAGCTTCCAAAAAAGATGTGTAATGCCAATCCTACATAATGCATCCGTCTGCGTATTCAGTACCTTCGTCCATATTTTCAAAACATTTCTGCGGTGAAATCAGACGCACTGGCACTGATCTGCGATAGGTCTGTTAGCACATTAGGTCCAACCCCCTATGGGTGGGTTTGAAAGGGTGAGATCTTGTGCTTGTAGTTTTTCCAGAAATCCCCCTCTCTTATACTTCCTCCTACTATGACATAAAATGACGAATTTTGCGCCTTTGTAGGAGGAAGTGAAAAAGGTAAATAGCAGATTTCTCTCGTCTCAGGGGAAAATGAGAAAGTGTTGCACGACCATTCAATAGTATAGAGGGGTTTCACCGACGTCACGTTCTGGGCGGTAACCCGGATGCGCGGCCATTTTGGAGGTACTCGGTGTAAACAACTGAATGAAGCACAATGGAGTATTGTGCGCTTTGGATACTTTAAGTGAATTATAGCCATGTCTAAACAACTGAAAAGCTCACCAAAACGCGTCCAAGATGCAAAGGCATATAGGGAAGGACTTGGGCCACAAGAAAAGGCGCGATATTTTGAGAAATTACGATTTATTGGCGGTGCAGATCCCTACGAGTTAGCTCCCTCTTCTTAGATCCATGACAACCCGGTGATTCTTCCTTCAGTTGCATATCCTGATATATTGAATTGTGCACCTTTTCTGTAATTGTGAAATGTTCTTTAAATATTTTTGGCATTTGTTTTTTAGTTGGTGATATTTTTGTAAAGCTATTTTGACAAATAAAAGTTATACTCAAGTTACATACAAAATTGTGTTTACAGTTAGTGTATTGCACTATATTACACTGTATAATTTATAGTAGTGTAAAGTGTATAAGTGTCCTGATAAAAGTCTTTTTTCTTTAATAAATCTGTGTTCTGTTGTGCTTTGCCAACCACAAGCGCATCCTTTCCTCTGATAACTTCTGGCATTCCTCTCCTTGGTTTTTAATAAATTTTGGAAGTCGATAATATTCCAAATGTTTTTCTCGGTTTTTCCTATTGGTACAACCTGAAACACGGCAATAATTAAACATTTTCCTTGACGACGTTCGAGATATAGCTCAGTGCCTATTCTTGCGGTCGGCGTTACGTCACTAATCATGTGACCTGCATAGCAACCGGCCACGAAGGGTAAAACAAACCGAAGTCAATGCCCGAGGCAAATCAAAAAGGTATCTATTCACAGAAGTTTTGCTGTGGATTATGTCAGTTATGGATACTAACGGACTAC